TATATATTCTTCTTTGAAAGAAAAAAGTAGACACCCAAAAAATAACCTTCCACCACAATAATGACACATTCCTTACTGATCATGATTCATGATCTGGTTTATGAAATTTTATATCATGCATTTCTTCTATTGACAATAACTTCTAAATCATTTTTACAATTGGTTGGATCCAGAGATGTGTTTATGTCATCTAAGAAAATCTGTGTAATGCCTCTCACTGTGTTTTATAATGATCAAAGGTAACTAAAACTTGGAAAACTTTTGCTCATATATAATAGAATGATCTTTTCCAGCTATAGCATCTCAACTCGCGGAAAAATACTTTGTATATTTCTTATTTTGAAAAAAATACAAAGGAGGTATAAATAAAATATAAGATAATAAACCTATACATTAATCTATCCTGAAAATCAGGAAAATATTCTCCTTATAAATGTTGTACATATCTGTGCATAAATAAGAAATAAATTTGATTATATTATGATTAAATCTTATCATAATTAAATTATTCTAATTGATAGTGTTGATCCTCAACACTCCCCCCTCAATCTGGGTGGTAAATGTCTATCATATCCAGATTTGATCTAATGTTTTCATGTGTTCTTGGAAGAGTCTTTGTCAGGATATCTGCTGTTTGTCTATATGATGAAACATGATCAACACTTATAATACTATGATCAATATTTTCTTTAATGAAGTGTTGGCCAATTTTCACATGCTTTGTCTTTGTTGTTACACATTATCCTCGTAGTATAATTAATAAGAATTTTGATTTCATCTAACATCCTCTTAAGACAGATTCCTTCATAGATACCTTAAGTCATAACTTTAAATTCAACTTCTGCACTACTCCTTGCCATCACAAGTTGCTTATTGCTTCTCCAAGTCACCAAGTTTTCTGACACAAAGGAACAGTAGCCTGTAATTGATTTCTTATCAAAGGGACATCCTGCCCAATCTGAGTCAGTATAGACTTCAATACCTATGTTTGAGTTATTCTTGAAGTAGAGTCCCTGGCCTAGTGTACCTTTGAGGTATTGTTGTATTCTGTTTGCCATTTTCATTTTGGCCTCAATTGGATTAGATGTATAGCGACTAGCCATGTTGACAGCAAACCCAATGTCGGGCCTCGTGTGAGTTAGGTAGATTAGCTTTCCAACTAGTCTTTGATATCTATCTTTATCAGCTGGTGGACTTTCCTCTTTACATCTCTTTTCTAGTTCTATGGGAGTATTGGTTGCCTTGCACCCAAGTATGCCAGTTTCTTGAAGTAAGTCCAGTGTATATTTCCTTTGTGATACATAAATATCATCCTTTGTCCGAGCAACTTCCATCCTTAGAAAGTATTTGAGCTGGTCCAAGTCCTTGACTTCAAATTCCTTGGCTAAAAGTCCCTTCAAATGCTTGATTTGATCATAATCGTTTCCTTTGATAACGATATCATCAACATAAACAATGAACAAGGCTACATTCCCTTCTGTGGAGTGTTTAACAAACATCGTGTGATCTGTTTGGCATTGGTTGAATCTATCTTCTTTGACAACTCGAGTCAATCTATCAAATCATGCTCTCGGAGATTGCTTGAGGCTATATAAAGATTTTCGGAGCCTACACATGATATTTGAGGTTTTGGATGATTCAAGTCCCAGAGGAATTTGCATATAGACTTCTTCTTCTAGTTCACCGTTTAGGAAGACATTCTTGATGTCTAGTTGATAAAGTGACCAACCTAAATTTGTAGCTAAAGAGAGTATAACTTGGATTGAATAGAGTTTGACCACTGGTGCAAATATCTCTTCGTAGTCCACTCCATACGATTGGGTAAACCCTTTTGCCACCAGTCGGGATTTGTACCGATTTATACTCTCTTCTGTTACAGTTGCTGCCCATTTAGGTTGTTGGAGTGTCTCTTGAACATTTCTTGGGATATGTATACTGTCAAGTGTTGCCACAAACGACCTATATCCCTGTGACAATTTTCCATATGACACATAATTCTCAATGGGGTGTTGAGTGCAAGATCTCACCCCTTTTCTTAATATAATAGGAATGTCAATGTCATCAATAGATTCAGGATTAAAAACGATATTACCTAGAGAAAACTCATTTTCTGGGACTGGTTTGATTCATGACTTTGCCTTGGAGCTGTGCTAGACTTTATTTCCTTTTTTCTCTTCCTGAAGTATGTAATAGGGCCTTGATTTTGCTAAGATGTAGTCCACGCTGTAGCTTCAGTTGGTACAATTTCCTCTATTGCAGGTGTAGTCTCGACTGGCTCTGCATTTGCTAATGTAGTTTCCTCTGCAGCAGGTACAATCTTGGCTAGTTCTGTATTTGGGGCAGATTCCAAAAGTTGGGGTTGTGCCACTTCAATGGGATAAATTGGATAAGTCTACTCCCCTTGAATGCCAACTTTAGGGTAATAAGGCTGATTCTCAAAAAAGGTGACATCCATGATGTGGTAAAATTTTATGGTTTGAGGTGAATAACATTTATACCCCTTTTGGTGGGTAGAATAGCCGAGGAAAATGCATTTGATGGATTTTGGGTCAAGTTTGTTGCTACGAGGGTGAAGGTTATGGATAAAGGCTGAACATCCAAATATTTTCAAGGGAATGGAATTAAGGATACAACTAGTAGGGTATGAGGTTTGGAGAGTAGAGAAAGGGATGTTAAAGTTGGGGATTCGGGAAGACATTTTGTTTATGAGGTGAGTTGTAGAGAGGACAACTTCTCCCCAAAAATGGTTGGGTACATTTGTAGCCAACATGAGAGATATGGTTACTTCTAAGAGATGTCTATTCTTTCTCTCGACGACCCCATTTTGCTGAAGGGGTATCTACACTCTGATGTATGATTCCATGTCTCTAAAGGTAGGAACTTAGTGCAGGGTGGTAATACTCTCGGCCATTATCACTCCTAAGTACCTTAATCCTACTTCAAATCTTTTGTCAGTTTGCTAATGGACAACAAATTACAGTCAAGTTTAGGCACATAAAGGACTGATTTCAGGCTAATATTTGTGAGATAATAACTGGACATTTACCCATGACTTTAGAACGAGTCTCATCGGCTATCCGAACTGTGTAATTGTTTTGGCATGGAGTATAGCTTTTAAACACAATTGAGTCTCTAGTCATGTGATCTGAGGCTCTTGAATCAATGATCCATGACTTTGATTTTCCTGTGCTAGTATTTAGAGCATGCAAGAAATTATCTTTTTGTGCTCCTACAGTTGTACCAATTGTTTGCTGGAAAATTTTCTATATTGCTTCCATTTGCTCCTTGCTGAATGAAGATGAATTAGAATTTACCTCTGTTGTGTTGCCTATGCTGTCCAGATCTTTTGTCTATTTTGCCTCTTAATGCACCCATTGAGAGTAATTTTGGCCATTTAATTTGTGACCAGTGATAGGAAGAGCAGGTCCTTCGACCTAATTGGTGGCTGAACCTTCTGCCTTGTTTTCTCCCATGGTTGGCGGCATTGGGATAGGGATGGTTCACATCAGGCTCTGATACCATGCAAAAAAATACATTGTGTATTTCTTATTTTGGAAAAAAATTCAAAAGAGGTATAAATAGAATACAAGATAATAAACCTATACACTAATCTATCCCTGAAAATAAGGGAAATATTCTCTCTATAAATGATGTACATATCTGTGCATAAATAAGAAATAAAATTGATTATATTATCATTAAATCCTATCATAATTGAATTATTTGAATTATTCTAATTGATAGTGTTGATCTCCAACATAACCTTATCGTCTACACAAGTTAGTACAATATTTTATTACAAGAGCATTATGGCATATAAAACATTATGCATACATGTAGTATTTTATGACATATACAATATTTTATTACAAGAGCATTATGGCATATAAAACATTATGCATACATGTAGTATTTTATGACATATAAAGCTTCAATTTTGATTCATCCATTCTCCCCAAGTTTTGCAAAAATGTCATTTTATTATGGAGAGCATACAATAAATGTAACATTCTTTCACTAGTCAATATCTAGAGTTGGGCTTGAAACAATTTGTTAAGAATTAAGATTACAAGAAAAGTTACAGATTATCGAAAGTTTTATTCACTAGGAGAGACATGCAAAAACAAAACTTACAAGTGTGAAATTCAAGTAGTTGTTTCCATTCAACAGTCTTTATATTCCACACAATATATCTACACTTCCGCTAAGAAGATAATCCCCTTCTTTCATTTCAAAGAAAATATTGGACCCTTGTGCTTAGTGTACAATTCAACTCCTCCCCTAATAAACCTCAAAAGCAAGAGGCCAGTTTATAACAAAGAATACAAGTCCCACGGTCACAAATAATGCATATATCATGCAAAGAGTTCCATCCCCTTTTTAATAAAAAGCATAACAAATCATATTAGCTAGGAAATAATATTGAAACACAAGTGGAAGACGAAATTCATAGGATTCTTGCTTGGCCATCCCATTTGTAATAAAAAGTATAGCAAAAGATTTTAGCCGAGGAATAAAATTGAAGCACAAGTGGAAGTAAAAATTCTTAGTATTCGACTTAGGGGGGGTTGCAGGACCAGAATAGGTAAAAGGTTAGTTCTACAAAGATTCATGGTAAGTATATACATACAACCGCAATAATGCTACAAAGACTTACATTCCAATCAAAGTGTTATAACATCCTTCCTTTTTCCGTTGGTGTATTCTTTAAAGTGTTACAGCACCACATCATTTACTTGTTCATCTTGCACAGCAGAGTCACAAGTCACAAGGTCCATCATCAATTTTCAACCTTATAGGCAAGAAAATAAGTTAAAATCATAATTTCAATTCAATCCTGTCTAAGTTATTTTAGATATGAATAATGCAGTGAAATTAACATAACGCAAAGATTACAGAATAACATTGAATGCACATTACTACTTTTGCAAACAAATACGTAGAAGAGACATAAAAGTAATAAATTAAGCAAGACTATTACCACCACAGTGAAACTGCTTTTAATCAATGAAATTCAGGCACTCATTAATCTTTCTCGTTTCAGACTTCACAAAGCGAGCCTTCCACCAAGAATAGGGCTGCTTTTCCTGTTACATTAGAAAGCCCCAGAAGCTCTTTCACATTTCTCTTCCTTTTATAATTCACTTACTAGTCTTCGTGTCTTGAAAAGTACAACAACTTTATCAATGATCTTGCCCAGCATGTTAAATTTGCTACCCATGAAAAAAGGAACACAATGTACTTTCCATTAGAAACCTCTACCTTCATCAATCCATCTCACACCAATCTCAACTCTCTAAGAATGCCCTGTATATCTATTGAACACGTTACCTAATAAAATCTAACCATCCAAAATCATAAAAGTAAAATACAAAAACCATAAAAAAATCATCGACTAACAACGAACAATGTACAATAAAAATAATATATACCTTAATGTCAAATACCTGAGATAGAATCGTCGTTGGAGAATAGAAATATATTAATGTTTTCCCCACGGAAAACAGAACACCCCACCTCCTATTATAGTGAAGAAAGAAATCATAAGCACAGTCACCACCATACACCGTCAGAGACGACAGCATAGACAGCTATTCCAGCATACAGGTGGGTTTCTCTTGCACGTATTGAACTCACAGGTTTCTCTCCCACATAAGTTCTCTTTTTCTGTCACAATCACTACCATACAACTACGAACACACTCACGAAGACGACAATACCGAATTTCTCTCACGGCTTTTCTTGTGCGTACTGGACTAATGGGTTCTCTCCCACTCCGCTTTTTTTTTTTTTTTTTGGTATCCTATCAACATATTGTAAACTAATGTTGTCCACATCAACTCATTGTCTTTTAGTTTAAAATTAAAAATGTCACGTCAGTTTCGCGTGGATATTGGTAAATTGAAAGTATACATAAAACGTTTTCCTTCTTTTTTTTCCTTCGCAAGACTCAACTAATGTATTAGTTTTATTGAGATGTAATTTACTCGCTTGTACAATGTTTAAGCGTTTGAACCCTTCGAAACAATCTCATAAGAGGTGAACCAGAAATAATTAGAAAATAGAAAAGGACAAGGATAATGGAAACAAGGGACAGTAAATTATCAAGGGTTGGATAAGTGGGAACACTGGGGAGAAAAGAAAGGAAAAAGAATACGTTCTTAGCTATAGATTAAATACATGTAGTTGAGAGATAAGGATTGGAAAGGTAGTGGGTAAGAGGTAGTAATTATATTGAATATATGTACTTGTGAGGTATTGATTACATTAAATGTATATAGTTGAGAGATCATGTTCAGATATTTATAAATTAATCATGCACTTATTGTAAAAGTAAATCATGTGATAATATACATAATGCTTTATTTATTAAATAATTGTTTATGAAACATATTTATGCTCCTACAGAAAATTGACCACACTTTTTTTTTTTTTTTTTTGAGTCTTCAGTGTAACTATAAACACTTGAATCAGATAAAATAGAAGGAGAGCCAGACTATTTAATAGTTTTGGCTGAACACCTCAAACCTCCAACGGTACAGCAGATTCAGGCTTTAAGCGATTTAATCGAACAGTTCCAAGTAAGTACTCTGGCAGCTCTGCTTCTTCTTTTGCCTGCAAATATGGCATCAGTAAATATTTGGATTAGGTGAGAAGTTTGATGAATCATAAAAGAGTTAATTCATTAATTATCACTAGCCCACACACTCCAGTGCCATGCAATAGATGTTGACATGCTTTGTGCAAGGAATCAAACACACCTGCACACTACGTGGTCATTATTTAATTAATGATTCCCAACTAAAATAACTTGTGACACAGTAAGTATGTACACAACAAATTTCAAATGGTAGTTTCATAGTTTAACTTTTTGGAAAGTGAGATGATTTATAGTTAATTCTAACAAAATAAAGTATTAGAAGATGGAAAGAATTTTCTTAAAATTCTTATTCTGTTGGTCAAATATATCACATCAGTTCGCCACCCCCTCTCAGAAACAATCATATTTTGCCATCGTTTTAAGTTGCTTTCCTATCTCTGTCGTTTTACCCTATATGCCATTAATGAAATATATGTACTTCATAGGAGGCATCCGTCATCTAGAGGTCGAATATATGACAAAGTTTTACAATTTCTGAATATATCCGTAATTGTATATTCCCTTTGAAAAACCATGAGTCGGGGAACTAAGAGAACACATTGTTAGCGCAGTCCTATCCCATAACAAATGTATGAATAAACATCCTTGACTAAGAACATATGAGCATCCCACTCCCAAGAAAATACACCAAGGAAATCACATTATTGCACATTTTCCATAGAATCACAAGTCTAATTGAAAGGAGCATGGAAAAAGGATACTTTACCCATAATATTATGATCAAAAGGAACAAACCTCTATCAAAATTGCAAGGTCAACGACAAGGCTTGTGACATATCCCAGAACAAGGCCAATGACACTCCTAGCTACAGAGGATGATCCAATGTCTACATCTATCTGCAGAAGACGGAAAATGCTATCAATGTGGAATCAACCAAATTATGATAATAGCAGAAATGTTACAGGTTTTTTGAAGTTCAATTCCACGACCAACAAGCATATTATTGCACACAATTTTAGCAATGCAGATTTGGGAATCTATTATTATTGGCAACCTGTAAATTCAAACTTATATTTCAAAATAAATGTTGAGGTTCACAAGCAAAAGCCATTAGTTGATGAGAAGAGAAGAGGGGCTTGAAATTTACAAAGAAAACCCAAGGACGTTTGTTAAACACTGAACCACCACCATTAAAACCATGCTGGGACTATAGTGTAGCTCAAGACCACCATTACCAGAGTTAGTTGCCTTACAGATAATGGATTTGCTACAGGACTCCCATATGTATAAAGATTATTCATGTTAACCCACAAGCCTTATAAATTCCATAAATAAGATGTTGACAACATAATTCTCAAATTAAATGTACTAAAGTATTTAAATAGGAGAGATGTGCAGTAAATGTTTCAAGCATAAAATTGCAGAAGAATTTGACAGGCAAATATGAACCAAAGAATCATTCAAAAATACTCCGATACTCCAGCTAATACCGCAGAGCAAGCTCTACCCCATAACAAGGCAAAAAAATTCAAATCTGTTACATAATATTTGAGGCTCGACTTTTAATTCTTTACTTACTACTTCAGCTTTACCTCAAAAAAATTATCTTGTTTAAAGTATTTACAAGTAACAGCTTTCCCCAGCAGGCATGCTTTTGTTCCTACAGCTCGCTTGACCATCCAATATCCCTGTATCCATTGAAAACCACTGGCTGGTTAATGCCATGAAGCATAAAAAAATGCATATCAAACATGATTGAAAATCACACACCTCAACTATGCTTGGAATTAGTTTGAATCTTGAGTCACGAAACGAGTCATCTCCATCCAAAAACTTGGCCAATAGAGAATCTTTATTTACAGGTCTGTCAGATGCATAATATAAAACCAAGCTGTAGTTTGGTTTAGCTGGAACCTGAGATTGATGGCCAAAATAAAAATCTACCTTGATGAAGATCCATCACTATGAGCATAAAAAAGATTTCTGTTTTGCATAAACTTTTACGTACAAAGTTATACATACGATTCATTCATGCATACAAAGATATATTCAGCCATTGCAATACATTGATGAGCAACTCCAAAGATTGACTAACAGAAAGTTGAACATGTACAATGTTCATGATTTCAACTAAAAAATTCCAGCTACGGCTAAAACTTTAATAGAGGATGGTCCACTTGGCTCTTTGGGACTCATCCGTATATCTTTTAAAATATACTTCCATAGTTTGTTCCTAATTGAGTCGTAGCTAATAGAGGATAACTGGCTAACCTTTTAAATAGAACTGTTGCTTAAATAAGAGAACTAAACATGCTAAATACCAATTTGTCAACTATGTTTTGGTTCCATCTTAAAGAAATAGCTAATAATATCAAAGACAACCAAAAGATGGTTGTGGTAATACATTTTATTAAACTTCACTTTGCAGTAAATTAACTTGTACTATAGTTTTTATCAAAGATATCCTTACCTGTAGATTGAATACAAGGACAAATGGAAGATTTTTCCCAGCTTCTGACTGCAATTCAGAAAATAAGGATTATGTACTATATCGTCTTTTATATAAAACAATAAAGAATCTCAAAATGTCCGGTTTAAGGTTTCCAGAAATGCATGCATAATTTGGACCGCAAGTTTTAAGCCTACAGCAAGCATGGGATAAAGAACATAACAACCTAGAACATTATTTTTACAAATTTACAAAAAGGTACGACCGAAGAAAAGATAATCTGGAACATGCATATGGCAACCCATTGAAAAAAAATGCAGCAAAGAATCTGAAGGGGGGCACAACCATACATATGGCATTATAATTAATTGGAAAAAGCATGAAATACCAAAATTAAGCACACAAAACCTATTTCAACAAATAAATATCTGACAATAAAAAGCTGAACTGTGACAGTAAAAGCTCCATTTAAAGAAGGATTGGATGAGCGTCCATCTCAGAGAGCCACTACTACTAAGGAAATTAATATGCTTAAAGTCTAATGAAAAATTTTAAAGATTGAGTTGATTAATGGTTTTAGAGAGAATCTCTTTTTTAATCAACATGTCTAATCCAAATTGAGCATATTTTCTCCAACCTTGATTCATAAAAAATCTACATGAATTTTAAAGATAAAATCTTATGATATCAATTTTACCTGAACCAGATTTCTACGATGCAGTGCAATTCTATCTGCAGTTTTGTCAACTTTTAACCAATCAACTGCTATGAGCTTAAGAAGAGGATCTCCTCCAACTACCTGCAAGAGAATTCCACTCTACAACATTTAGCCAGAATACAAGAATATAGTATATCAAACTCTGTCAACATGTTACTTGTTCTATAGCTTAAAAGCTAAAGATTTAGTTCTTCTTTGAAAAATTTAAGTTTGAATTATCAATATGCCTAATGCCTGTAATGTTTATTAATTGGGAAAATAAATTAAGGTGAAAACCAGAAGCTCATGTATTACTAATGCTATACTTAAAATTGAAAACTGGACAAAGTTTACTACCCTTTTCTTTTTCATAATTATTTAAGTCACAAATTTCACTCCAAACAATTAGAAATACAAATTGATCTGAATATGGGATAAGTGTTCAAATCTGCTTATATCATTATCATCATCATTTGTCCAGAAAGGAAAACCCCACCCCAATTATGTCCTGTGATTCCAACGTATACTTAATGGACGTAAATGGTTAACTCACCTTAGAATTATCTTTTAGATAGTTCTTTCCCCTAATCATAAATCCTTCACCACCAGGACAAGTCCAACAGTCTGTGTCCTTCTCATCCTCACCTTTGCGTAATGTGCCATGCATGTCGCTAACACCAATTGTGATAGAATTTGCATCGGGATCTAATTCTTTGCTTAGATCTGGAGCTGCAAGCAGGATGAAATAGTGAAGTAATATTTTGAATGGTAAAATGAATAAAAAGAGAATTGAGAAATTAAGAAGCTCAAGTGACTTTATCATCCTTGTCTTTTGTAGTTTGCATCGCATCTATCGTAATATATCAATTTTCTTCTTTCAACGTAATAATGAATTATATGGGCACTACACATGCACTTATATGATTAAGGTCTACATGAATAAATGAACGGAAAAAGACTGAAGTAAGATCCTTTTTCCAATCAGCTATAGTTGAAAGTTTCAAATAAAGAAGATAAGAAGAGAATGCTTAAAGGATTTAAGGGAGAAATACAAACCAAAATAACACAATAAAAAGTGAAGGTGACTCCAGTATGTCTATGAATTTAGTAGCATATTGTTAGATATTGTTTAGATATTATTTGATATTGTTAGAAATTGTTAACCACAATATCAAACAATATCTCCTGTATATTCTATACTTTCAGTTACTCTTTTAGTTGTATCTCTCTATTATAAATAGATTACCCTATGTGTGATTTATACACAAGGGAGATTAATCTAAAACTCTATTTCTTCTATATTCAACATGGTATCTAGAGCTTAAGGTTATTTTGAAATTTTTTCACCTTTGACCACTATTGGAGCCGCCACCACCGCCGCTATCGCTGCCAGTTAAACTGATATTCCACATCAGAAAAGAGTTATTTTTGTTATTGGATATTATTTGGTAGTGTGAAAGTGCATGTCTAGGAAGGTTCTGACAAGGAAAGACTTGGTATTTAAGCGTGTCCATTAGTAACCCACATCTCTTTCCTGGGAACTTACCTGGTGTACTGGTTCACACTACTGGTACTACCGCCGTCGCCGCCTCCTCCGCCGCCTCTGCCCTTTATGACTTCTTCCGCTCCTTCTAGTACTTCCAATTCTGTCAGTACTGTCTGATCCTTCCATCTACACTAGCTATGTTAATGTGCACTTATCCATTGAAAAATTAACTGGCCCTAATTATGCCACATGGTCATCAGACGTCAAATTATGGCTTAAGAGTCAGAAGTATCTTGATCATCTTGCCTCGAAAGCACCTACTCTCACTCTTGGTGAGGAAGACCGTTGGGACACCATTGATGCTCAATTATGTGTGGTTCTCAAGGGTACTCTTGATCCTTCATTAAAACAAATTTTTCGTTCCTACGAAACATGTGCTAAAATTTGGGAACATGTCAAGTTATTATACACCAATGATACTCAACGTCTCTATGATGTCTGTTCTAAATTAGTAGATGTTATTGCCTCTAAACATCAAGATTCTATGACTGATTATATGGGCAAAATTCATGCTCTTTTTTATGAGTTCAATGAGTTATTGCCTCCTTCCCCCGACCCTACCACCGAGATAGTACAACGATCAAAGTTCTTCATGCTAGGGGCATTACATGGACTTGCTGATCAATATTCACATATTTGTGATCAGATTTTGGGTTCTCCGGTTGTTCCCACCTTGACTTCGACCTGCTCCACTTTTTTGTGTGTACAAGCAAAACCCAACCCTGACACACTTGCTTCTATTAATGATTCTTCTGCATTGGTATCTCACCGTGATAACCGAAATCGCCCTCGCAAATAGGGAAAAGGGCGTCCTAAGTGTGAACATTGTGGTAAGCTAGGTTACAAGATTGACAAGTGTTATGCATTACATGGTCGTCCTCCTCGATTTGCTGTAGTTGTTCAAACTGATCTTTCCCCACCTTTATCTGCTAAGGATCCTCCTTCTTCTATTTCATCCGACACACCTGCTATGTTCAACAAATTTCTCAAATGGTGTAAGGATCAACAATCTTCTAGTTCCACTGTGTATGTCCCACACACAAGTACATTTTTTGCTGGTCTGAACCAATCTTCTTCTGGTCCTTGGGTTTTTTATTCAGGAGCCACTGATCATATTACTGGTAACAAATCTTTGTTCTCCTCTTTATCCTCTCCTAATCTTTTACCTTTTGTTACACTGGCTGATGGCTCTAGAGTATCATCTCATGGTGTTGGAACTGTTATACTTTTCCCTTCTTTAACCATTGATAATGTTCTTTATGTCCCTGGGTCTCCTTTTAACCTGTCGTCTAACTCGTTCTCTTGATTGTGTTGTTTCTTCTACCAACAATTCTGTGTGTTTACAAGACCGGAGTTTGAAACAGGTGATTGACACAGGATGTGAGTCTCATGGTCTTTATCATCTTCGTCCCTTTACACATGTTGGTGCAGTTATGGAGTCTCCCTCTTTTCTTCATGCTCAGTTAGGTCATCCAAGTCTTGCCAAGTTACAGTAGCTTGTCCCTGCCTTATCTAAGTTGTCTAGTTTGGCATGTGAGTCGTGTCAATTAGGAAAGTATAGTCATACTTCCTTTCCTCGTAGTGTCACACGTGGTGCTTCGTCCCCTTTTGTCGTGGTTTACTCTGACATTTGGGGACCTAGCCGCGTTAAGTCTATTTTAGGTTTTCAATACTTTGTTACTTTCATTGATGATTATTCTAGATGTACTTGGTTATTTTTGATGAAAAATCGTTCTGAAGTATTTCATATCTTTCAATCTTTTTTTAATGAAATACAAACTCAGTTCGGTGTTTCTATTAAAGTTTTGCGTAATGATAATGACCGTGAATATCTTTCTCATTTTTTTAAACAATTCTTGGCTTCTCATGGTATTTTGCATAAAACTTTTGTGCTTATACACCTCAACAAAATGGTGTAGTTGAACGTAAAAATAGACATGTTATTGAAATAACTCGCACTTTTTTAATTCATGGAGAGGTTCCTCAGCACTTTTGGGGTGATGCTCTTCTTACTGCATGTTATCTCATTAATCGCATGCCTTCTTCGATTTTAGATAATAAAATACCTCATTCCATTTTATTCCCTCATGAACCACTTCATCCCTTACCTCTAAGAGTTTTTGGGTCTACATGTTTTGTTCATAATTTCAGTTCTGGTCTTGACAAGCTTTTTCCTAGATCACATAAATGTGTTTTCTTAGGGTTTATAAGATCACAAAAAGGATACAAATGATTTTCTCCTTCTCTTAATCGTTATTTTGTGTCTGCAGATGTCACCTTTGATGAGTTCTCTCTTTATGTTAAAAGTCAATCTTCACCTCTATCTCCATCCAATCTTGTCAACACTCCTAGTACATTTAATGTTCATGTTGTTTGTGACCCTCTAACTGTGTCTTCTTCATCATTAGTTTCTGCTCCGCAGTCAGCTTCTTCTTCACCGCCTCTTCAGGTTTATAGTTGCCGAAACCAATTACAACCACCACCATGTGACTCCACTCAAGTGCCAACTACTCTGTCTCCTCCGGATGTGACACCTGAGTCTGACCTTCCCATTGCCCTCCGAAAAGGTATCTGTTCTACACATAATCCCTCTCCTCATTATATTGGTTTGAGTTATCATCGACTGTCATTATCTTTTTATATATGTCTTTCCTCTCTTTCTTCTGTGACCATTCCAAAAACTGTCCGTGAAGCTTTAGTCCATCCTAGTTGGCGTCAGGCCATGTTAGATGAACTAAGTGCTCTTCATAATAGTGGAACTTAGGAATTGGTCTTGTTACCGTCTAGAAAATCTGTTGTTGGTTACAGGTGGGTGTTTGCTATCAAAGTTGGACCTGATGGTACTATTGATCGCCTCAAAGTTCGTCTTATGGCCAAAGGTTATACTCAAATTTTTGGGTTGTATTATGGAGATACATTTTCCCCCATGGCAAAGATGACTTTTGTTCGTTTATTTATCGCCATGACCGCTCTTCAACAATGGTCTCTTTATCAACTGGATGTTAAAAATGCTTTTCTCAATAGTGATTTGCAAGAATAAATCTATATGAAGCAACCTCTTGGGTTTGTTGCTCAGGGGGAGTCTTCTGGGATGGTATGTCGTCTTCGCAAATCCCTATATGGCCTAAAACAGTCTCCTAGGGTTGGTTTGGTTTGGAAAGTTTAGCAAGGTTGTTCAATAATTTGGTATGACTCGGTGTGAAGCAGATCACTCTGTCTTTTATCGACACTCGAGTGCTGGATGTGTTTACTTGATAGTATATGTTGATGACATCGTTCTTACAGGTAGTGACAACCATGACATCTCTTAGTTGAAACAACATCTCTGTCACCATTTTCAGACCAAAGATCTTGGCAAACTTAGATATTTCTTGAGTATTGAGGTAGCATAGTCCAAGTATGCCATGGATATTTTGGAGGAAACTGGGTTGATGAGTTCAAAGTCTGTTGATACACCCATGGATCCCAATACTAAACTTCTACCAAATCAGGGGGAGCTTATACCTGATCCTGAGCAGTATAGAAGATTGGTTGAAAAATTGAATTATCTTATAATTACTCATTCTGACATTTCCTTTGCAGTCAGTGTGGTAAGCCAATTTCTTAATTCCCCATGTGAAGATTATTGGAATGCAGTCATTCGTATCTTGAAGTATATTAAAGGATCTCCTGGAAAAGGATTGTTATATGGTTCTAATAACTATACAAGAGTTGTTTGCTACTCAGATGCTGATTGGGCAGGATCTCCTTCGGATAGAAGATCTACATCTAGATATTATGTCTCTATTGGTGGTAACTTGGTCTCATGGAAGAGAAAGAAACAGAGTGTTATGGCAAGATCCAGCAAAAGCAGAATATAGAGCTATGGCCTCAGCTGCCTGTGAACTTGTTTGGCTCAAGCAATTGCTTAGAGAGTTACAATTTGGAGATGTTACTCAAATATCACTTGTGTGTGACAATCAGGCTGCTCTTTATATTAGCTCTAATTCTGTCTTTCATGAGAGGACTAAACACATTAAGATTGACTATCATTTCATTCGAGAAAATATTATATCTAGAGACATCAAGACTGAGTTTGTTAACTCAAGTGATCAGTTAGCAGATATTTTTACTAAATCTTTACATGGGCCTAGAATTGATTATATTTGTAACAAGCTTGACACATACGATTTGTATGCTCCAGCTTGAGGGGGAGTGTTAGATATTGTTTAGATATTATTTGATATTGTTAAGATATTGTTAACCACAATATCAAACAATATCTTCTGTTTATTCTGTTACTTTCAGTTACTCTTTTAGTTGTATCTCTCTATGACAAATAGATTACCCTATGTGTGATTTATACACAAGGGAGATTAATCTCAAACTCTATTTCTTCTATATTCAACACATATAATATAATAGCTAGTATTATTGTATGTTTTGCCCTCTATTTGGTTTTGTTTAAATTCTCTTAAGTATATGGTCTCATACTGCCAATTTTGCAGGAATCAGATACAGAAATCAACTGTAGTTTGGAAGTTAGAATAGAGCAGTAGCTTTACTTAAGGATTGAATAGTGTAAATAAATAGATTTAGACAAAGAAAGTTATACTGATTTTAAGCCCTTTATGCATTGCAAATAACAAGAAACAAATGCTGACCTGGAGTTCGCTTCAAAGCTAAGTTTGTCATACCCCAAGAAACATTCTTTAGTTGGATTTTCTGCTCCTGACAAATTGAATAAGGTTTCAATTATATAACAACAGATTTTTTATTTTTTTTCAAAACTGTCAAACTCATAATATCAATTTCTATTGAAAAAATTCTTGTAGTTGATAAGCAGATTGAATAAGGAAACCTGATCATGCCCTTTGTCATCATCACTAACATCATCTGACGATGATGACTCAGCAGCGATTGCATCATAAAACTCATCTTGCATTTCTGCCTCTGCAAAGTCAGAACTGCTCATAGAAGCAGAGGAGACATGGGAATGAGAAACAGTAGTGCCATATTGTTGGAGGAGTGTTGGATTGGCTCCAATATATTCCTTTAAACCTACCATTATTTAAAATGAAGTATTCAATGTCAAAGTTCAATTCGAGCATAAAGGTCATACATCACACCGTAGAACATGCAAGCGAGGAACTTTATTAATTTCTTATCTGTTTTAGAAATGGAAAAGGACAATTTAAAGATGTTGTTGATAGGTTGTCAAAAAGAGGATTAAATCTGTATTTGATTACTTGAAATATTTCCGTAGTTAAGATTCAAAAGTGGAAAGGCAATACGCTTTCTTCTATAGGTCGTGTGACTTAAATTAATTTGGTACTTCATAGTATGTTATTGCTCAGTTTCAGGTTTACAAGTGGCCAATCAGTCTGCCAAAGCTGAGTGATAGGTGAATGACGAATTTCCTTTGGTCTGGTGATACTTTCGTCAAAAAATTGGTAACGGTTCCATGAAAACAGGTAATTTAGTCTAGATCCTCTAATGGACTGCGGATTAGATCAGTTTTTGATTTAAACAATGCTGCTATGCTTGTTGAGGATGTGGTGGTTATGTTTCTTATGTCTATTCTTCTGTATGGTGTGGTATTAAAGGTTGTATAAATTGGGTATGCGATAATATGATTAGACAGCTGGGTGATGGCTCTAAAATCCACTTTTGGACTGATATATAGTTGGAAAGACCTTTGGTGGCATATTCCATATCACTTGTATAGTCAATTAAATTCCAAGGTTTCTGACTTCATTTTTAATGGACAGTGCTGTAATGTAGAAGTTATAGTAGTTAAAGATGCAGTTTGTGGCTCAAACTATTCATGATCAAATCATTCCTCTGGATCTGTGCCTGAAAACTATTCATGCAGTTGATATTGCTTATGATAAAGGTTGGCAGAGATTGATGTAAAATACGGTGCTAACCTATCTGGGATCATGTTATATGGTGATGCTTTTGCATACTCTATTTTAGATACAGAAAAAAAGGCTGCAATTAAGGATACAAAGAATAAAATAAATCACTAATTTCTTGTTATGGAAACTTTCCATATATCCCTACTGACATAAAATATAAGCATATCTTTTTAACACTGTTAATAGAGCCAAAAATCCTTGACATAATAATGCAATGGTGGCGTGATTCCAAATTTATGATATTAAAATGGAATCAGATATCAAGAGCTCAGATATGTTCTCAAAATGCAAGTGAATCTACCTATCATTATCTTTCTGAATCCCATCCTATATAAAATACAAAACTTTTTCTCTTTTTCCCCTGTTTCAACATTATTATGATGATATTTTGTTTAAGTTTCTGCCATGTTTGTGAATAGTTTATGCCTCATACTTTTCATAGTTTGACCTGTCAACAATTCTAGAACTCAGATTGATACAAGATGAAAACAAGAGTTCAATTCACTTTACCTGCCACTTGGCACAGTAACGCATATGGGACGCTCTTCTCAAATTTTGTGCACTGCTGGCTGTTCTTCCATCGATACCAGGATGCAGAGTGTATCTCTAAAGTGTGGGTCACTAAACATCTTGGTCTATCTGATCCCATAGGTGTGTTCAAATTTCTGATTTCCCAGGTAGATGCTGCGGCCGGAAAAAAATAAATAAAATTCAAGGTTAAATCAGCAACGGTCATAAATTAGTTAATAGTAATATTGTCTATTCTTTTCTTCTGATGAATTTACAGAAACCTATGAATTTAAAGGAAGGTTTAAGATTTTACACAGGTTATACCATAAGCATTACCAAACCATTTGTTGAAGTATTGAAATCAAGCAAGCAAACTAAAATTTTTAAGGTAGTCAGAATGTTGATTGGTCTGCCTATTTTTCTAGACAAGACAGAGTTTATTAGGGGAAGAAACAAGACAATTACATGGAATTTAGAAAGTTTTAAAGAATACCTAGCAATGTTAAATTAAACATAAATTATAACCTTTGAAGGTAAACAATGTTATTACATTTCACTATACAAGTTAGAAACCTAACTACGTTAGCTCTACTACTTGTATCAATCATATGCAACATGATTAGAAATATTATTAAACAGAAAAGAAATACAAAAGTGGGAGATTAAACCAAACCCGTTAAGAGAAATGAAAGTGCAGAAAACCCCACCTATCCCAACGAAAGTCAGATACAACACAAGTAGGTACACTACCAAGGAAAAACAGAACTTCTCAAACCATAAGTTACTAAACCATCAACACAACTATTTCCCTTCCTAAATATATGGGAAAGTCTGAAATTTATACTCTTAATCAACTCTAAAAACATTAAGTCACCTATTACTTAACTTCCAATGAAGTAAAAACTATCATAAAAAGATTTCACAGTAAGTAAAGAATCTGTCTCAATCCAAAGAATAGACCAAAATATCTTAGATTTCCAAAAATTTTAGTATAATTGAAGTGTAAGACAAAGAGCGGATAAATATATGAATAAAAAGCAGAAATATCTTTTAATACCTTGTCGTCAAAATTATTCCTTCTTATATTCTTAATAAAAAAAAGAAATTGAATAAAGACATTCTGAAGAAAGAAAAACAATTAAAACCACAGAAAGGAGCAAAGCTATACTACCCACAACATATTAGTAAGACTTAAAAGATAATGTGCTTTATGCAAAGTTGAAGCCAAATGTCTAATCTTATTCTCAAAAAGTTTTCATGTTAAGAGTTCCCTTAATGATGTTAGAGTTTATACTCCGACCAAATGCACACCAAAGTGTAGCACAAATTACACATTGCCAACAAACAAATGGCTTCTTTTACCAAAATTTGCACAGCTTGTGAACATAAGTTGTTCCGAGGACCTAAGGCACACACCCTTAATCCACAAAAATGTCAACAAAGAATTCAATAAGGATTGCCAAAAATAAATTGGCTTTTTTTACCAAAATTTGCATAGCTTGTGAACATAAGTTGTTCTGAGGACCTAAGGCACACCCCTTACTCCACAAAGATGTCAAAAACAAATTTGATAAGGAAACAACTAGAGGACAATGTAAATAAGAAAAGAAAAAAAAAACATGGGAAGTTGATTATGGTGTTACTCCACACTTAACACACATACAAGAAGAAATATCCTGATGTTGTGTATGAACTCACATGTTAAGGGTACCAATTAAGCATTATTTTCTGAAAGGAGATCACTTTAAAGAAAGCTTGGAATTTCAAAATATGTTAATCACGAAGAAAGGGTACTCAAGTGAACAAATGTGGAATTGAGGGTAAATTTTGCATGAAAACACAAAAAGGATCAAGAAACTATAAACTTTATCTGGGTTAGAGAGGACAAGTGGACAGAATTAACAAAAGCCGAGAGAGTCTTCAATCCATATGAATCCTGATCATTTAAGTTATACACAAACTGGAATAAAGGAGTAGAGTCTTGAGCATTATATCAATTGTCCAAAAGTAAATCTTATAATGGAAGATAGATAAATCTTGGGAGAGCCTAATTACAAGAGTAATATCACGCTGACTCCCATAATTTGGCATAAGACCTGCCATGTGAGATAAATTTCCATGAGTTAAAATAACAAACTAGGATTGCTCTATTCTATAACCCATTTTGGTCGAAACCATACTGAGTCAAAACTTAGTGCATTAGGCTGCAATATAACCCTTGTATCTTTATGGAGGTTAGTTGGATCAAGCTAATTCATAAAAATAGTTAGGTGTAAGCATGTTCCGTGTTTGGGTGTTTTCCTGAAAAATATGTTGAGATAGGATAGCTTTTATGTTTCTTTTGTTTCTAGTTTGTTCTTTTTACACTTCAGAGGATCCCTTATATTCCAAAACTTTCATAATTAACTTCATTTTCTTATTGGATTTCTTATTTTCTAAAAAGAAAAGAAAAATATTGTTTTTTGTTGGTTTGAATACCTCAACAATGATGTTTTAGTATTACATACTATTAAATAATCGAGTAAATTCCTATTGCATGGATTTTCTTTTGATTTGAATTACCCTTTCTTTTTCAGCTTTGCATACTTTGTTGGAGATCTCATATCGATACCAAATTATTATATATAATTACGGTTCAAACCTCACCTTACAAACTGATTTTATAGGTTTGAGTTAAGGATCTATCTATTTCTAATATGATATTAAAGTCTATTTTAGTGAGATTTGTTGCCCAATCACTCTATCTATTATCGGACCACTATTGAACCACACTTTAATATGCAATCCCATGAGATGTCCATTTTTCAGCGTGACGGATTCCACATTCTTAGCGTGACGGGATGTGTTGGATATTCCACATTCTTAGGGTATAAGGTGAAGGAGAAGTTAGTAAGATAATTAGCATATTAATAAGTTAGATAGTTGCTTGAGGTATTATTTAGATATAAATTGGGTAAGTAGATAGGAAAATGGGGTTCATTTTTGCAAATTGAGCATTAGCTCTTTGTGAAAAGAGAAACATTTTGTGAAGGGGAAACCTTTGACGGAGAGAGTACTCTCCTATTTCTTATTTTTTTAATTCTATTCAATAAAAAGCTTTCTTTTCTTTTTTTGGTTCCTAACAGATATAGCCAAATTATAATATATAATTGAGGTGTAAATTTCACCTTAGACGTCGATTTTGCAGGGTTAAATTAAACATTTTTTCATTTCTAATGGAAAAGTTGAGTTGAACCCAAGCCATTTAAACTTTTAGGATGCCAATAATTCAAAACAAAACAAAACAATACAAAATTTAGAAAGCTAGTGCTCCAACAATGAATATAAATTACTTATGGTTATAGAACATCTTACGATTAATTTTAGTACGTCGATATCCTGATCTTGGAGGTTTTTTCTTATGAATAGATGGAAATTGCAAGATAGCTGCATCATTTAAACATATAAATATGTCAGCAAAATCAACTCAGTCAAAGTACAACATAATTCCAAGTAAAGCCACAAACATGCAATCACTTTGATGATCCATGCCAATCAAGGGTACAACAACAATTGTCATGGTAATAATAGTTAATTGGTGTACTAATGTACTGATATCATGCATGCATAAAACACAGTGAAATTTTTAGCAGAAATATTTAAGTTGAACAAAATTGTTCTCACTATATGTTCCATCTTGTCCCCGAAACCATTGCCTTGAGAAGATAAAATCTCGCTTTGAATGCCACCTGGAAAAAGTTTCAGAGAAAACTTATGAATTGACATTTTTGAAAGTATAACATGGATCAAGGCATAAGAACAAAAATTGCTTCGAATTCACTGATGAAAATATATTAATAAAACAGATAATCAATGATATATAATTACTTGGCCGCTATATCTAATCACAAAGAGCTACACCATGAATGGAGACAAACACAACAAAAAAACACATAAAATGTTAGAGATATGCTTATGTAATGTTTTTTCTTATTTCTAAATTATTGTTTGTTATTATAGTTGTTTGACAGTCATAGTTTGTTACAACTGTTTTGCTACCTATTACTGTACTCCTCTACTCATATATGTATATGGGTTCTGTAAGAGGTTCACTAATTTTTGTAACTTTCTATAGTAATGAATCATATTTGTTGACAGATTTAATATGGTACCAGAGTTAGTGGATCCTCTTTCTTGGCTTCTGCTAAATCTTTGTTTTATAATATGGCTTTTATAGATCCTAATTCTTCTTGTCCTTCTTTTTCTGTGCCTGTACATGTCATTTTCTCCCATCAAATTACAAAGAAGCTTGATGATAAAAATTTCTTGTTGTGGCTTCAACAAGTTTATCCTTTAATTAAGGCTCATTGTTTGCTTCACTTTATGGTTGCTCCTAAAATTCTGTCTGGGTTTCTTACATTTTCTTCATCAAACTAGGAAAAAGGCACGACAATATGTCAGCCAACATACTTTTATTGATGTCAAAGAACATATTTCTTTATTGATGTAAGTAACAAAATTTCGTCAATGTCAATAAGGTTTCAGTTGACATTATTGGGATGGTAATGTAGTCACAAAGATCCCTAAAACAATGACATTACAACCAAAATCATGGTTACAAAAGAATTTTAAAACAGCCACATCTGCAAAATGAGGCACGTGATGGTGGATGAGTGAGGTTTCTGCACATGTGAAACTAAGGCAGAATGAGGCATTTTAACTATGGAAAAGGGATTAGGGTTGACATAATCAAACCCAAAACTATAGACACTAAATTAGGTTAGGTAAATGTGTGTCTAATATAGACCGCACACTATTGTATTTATGTTTATATAAGTGAGGTTTATCAATATAACATAATAAACGCTTAATCAAATCCCAATGGCATATAAATGTGTTGAAACTAGCTTAAGCATTTGCTACATGAGTTAAATGTTCTACATCTAACAAATTGTATACGAAGGAAAATAACAAAAAAATAGTTAAGGTGATTTCGATCTTTGCTGAAAGGCCATCAAAGGCTTCCCTTTGAAGAGCATATCATATGATTTCTAGTCCTACGAAAAAGGGAAGGAGGAAAACCAGGAAGAACATTAAAGGAAATTATTAAACGAGATCTCATGGTGAATAATATTTCTGAGTTATTGCTTTTTGATCATTCAAGCCCAATTGTATTTTGTGATTCACCTAGCTGACCTCAACTAATGGGAAACACTATTCCTGTTGTTGTTATGGTACCAAGTATGCATTAATTATTGGATAAGATAAGAGCTTATTATGCTTATATCCTTTTCTAATTTTTTATTGCTCTCTTATTGGCTTAGCCTATAAATTCTTATCATGACCAACAAATGATCCTTAAAAGTTTTGAAGGTGTAACATCCATTGATTACCGAGTTAGATACTTTGGATCATATGTTCCGTAAACTACATCATAATGTCCATCATAATTCTCTACCAACTCCAAGTCACCCATCAACATATCCCACCTGAAAAAGTAATTGTAAGAAAGAATAAGTTGACCAATATGTTATCAAGACTTTAAAAACATTTTTAGGTAACTTACTCGTATCTCTTCTGTCGCTCAGTATTTAAAAACACTTCAAACACACTGTCTACACTTGCATCAATAACACCAACAGACTTAACAAGGACGCCCTTACCATTCTATAGAGTATAAAAAGAATGTCAAAGCAGTTGGAAAGATATAGGAAATAGGACAGCAAAAGTAAGCATGCATTCAATAATTAGGTGATATAGCCAAGTTTATAACTTCTGTTAGAGTAACATACACGAATTCAAAGCTAATTAGTTTTATATCGTGAGAATCAATTTACCCATGAGTCCCAAAATCTTAGGTGCATATACATACCTTGTGATCAGATACATCCTCAAAGATTCTAATGCCTGAAACCACAAACAAAAAAATCTAGAAGGATAAGGATAGATCAAACTGTAAGTTTTTCAATTATGACCAATGAAAGCAAGAACTCAAGTAAAAAACATATAAGCAGCATCATCGTTTGCGATGAATAATCTAAACGACAGATGAGGCCCAAAGGAAAAGAAATGTAGGGCATTTGTCAAGTTTCCTTATACAATACATTTTATGATTTTCTTCTATTCTACAAGATCATTTCAATTTTTTTCGTTAAATGTTTATAATATATTTTCTTAAATTTTTTTTTCTCCACTAATAAACTCAATGAATTAATTGCCACGCCATCTTCTATGAAAAGTTGCACACCTAAAAAATGATGTCATCTGATAAATCCGAAAAGAAATAAAATAATAATGAAAATAAATACCTAGCCCAACTTTTTGATTATGGTATAAACGTTCTATCTCTATGTTTCAAGGACACAGCTTTAGGTAGCTTTTCTATATTGAAAAGAATAGATTTATTAAGAGAGAAGGAAACATGAAATCGAAGCAATCCTCTTGGAGGAAAAAAAAGTATAAAAGAACAGAAATCATTAAAAAAAGGAATCATAAGAATAACCCCAATTGGACCTTGCCCAGAAAAACTAATAACATTTTTTCTAAGAAAATCTAGAGAAATTCGAATCATAATATTACGCATTGCAAACGGTAGTTGTACATAAACGTATGCTGACTTTCATCCAAATGCTTTTCCACGAAAGAAATAGAAAAAACCTCCAAGTCCAAACATGATATCCAAACCCAAACATCCCCATATAAATAGATCCACTAACAAAGACTTCATGTTAAAAAAGTAGGTGCTAAGCTTAGTCACTTGGACGTAATATTCAAAATTCCAACCTTGATCCTTCTTTAACACCTGCACCACATGAAATCTATGTGGGCAAAGACCACCATATGAGAACCGATTCAAAATTAACAGACTTTGAGATAAACTGATTGGTGAAAACATGTAAACAACTAACGAAAGAGTCATAAGGACCAATTCAAATTAACATACTTAATGTGATTAATACAAAAGACTTGTCGCAGATTTGTGGACCATATATAGTTTTTTTCCAAGCGGAATATGTGGTAAGTGCAGTCTAATTCATAAAGTAGGTCACTTATAGATCCACAGTTAAGTTGACTAGTTTACTTTGATAAGTTGCTGTTCCCTATACTCTAGACGAGGTAAAGACTTTATGTTTTGGTTGTTGTGCAAATTTTGCTACCCTTTGATAAGTGTTGTTGGAGAGTAACTCCAGTATGTATAAAAGGTGATTTCTGTGGTTTTCTTTCCCATAGTTGCTTCAAATGTGTTGCACTCTCAAATTTACAATCAGATTGAGAAGCCTTGTTACCCACTGAGTTTTCTTTTCCCTCTATATATTTTTGTGGTTTATGTTGTATTTTGTCTTTTTGTATTAAAGGATTTCTTGTCCTCACCTAGTTGTACTTCTCTAATTCTCTTTTCTCTTCAATAAGTATCTTATTCTATCAGAAAGCAATTACAACTTTTGCATAAACATAAGGATCATTGTTAAGTTTAATATATATTAGGAAAAAGGTATTAAGCAATAAATATTTATTTGCATTGGCAGCAAAAATGGTGTATGGCAAAAGAAAAGTACCAGACATGGTACGAACACATTTCCATTGATGTGCATCAAATGCATCTCCGTTGTCCCCTTCAAACCCATCTGAATTACCAAAAAACTTTGAGGAAAGACGTAAGAGTGTCTCTGGGCCTTTAGAATGAAAGAGAAACAGTAATGTCAATTAGTATATAAAAAGAGATGTATAACATGGTCAACAAACCCACCAATAAACATAATTTAGAAAAAAACATGAGATTCCTGAAAAAATGCAAATTAAAATTCACCTCACACCTTCACAACTATCTCCTCACACATTTTTGGTGCATATCAATAATGTAAATCTCTCTCTCAACAGGAAACACCAGCACACTGCTTAATACAAAATCGATAGATTGTGTAACCCAATCCGTAACATAATGATTTCATAGTAGCATGATATGTCTACAAATTACAATCCATTAATCATGTTGAGACCACAACAGACCCCCCTAATGAATTTATAGATTGAACAATGTGGATCATTTTACCTTGGCCAATTTTTTTAAGCTTCTTGAAACCTGAGGCATACCGTTTCATTTTAAGTCGATTTCCTTGTAGATTGATCCTTCCACACCAGAAAGAGAGGTGATGTGTTAGTTTATGATAAGTTATCTCATAAAAGGATGACCTCTAAGACAGCAAATCTCATAATGATCTCAACAATTACACTAATATTTCATTACGATAAATACATCACAACGTGAGGAGTACTATTTCAATGAAAGGCATATTCCTTGAAAATATTTTAAGAAAATCATAACTTCTAGAGTTTATTTCATAAAATATGGAATATATATATATATATATATATATATATATATATATATATATATATATATATATATATATAAACAATTGGGTTTGATATTATCATAATCATAGGAATCTCCAACTAATAGATATGATAGTAAAGCCTCATCAGTTAAGTGTGCATGTGTCATTAGATTATGTGATGTGTCAACACAATATAGGAAACTAATAATTCTTTTTTTATTGCGTGACAAACTGAAAGCAAATTGTTTCTATGCCATATAGGATTCGGAATCAGTGTATTACATGTGCTGGGACCATATAAATATATAATGGATTAATCCTATGCGTGACAATATGCCATATATTATAGGAATTAATTACCAATAAAATAATATATTGATTTATATGTGCAGGGACCTAATAAAAAATTAGTATTGAGATTTTAATAATGTGATTGGATTTTTTAGAAAACAGATTATTATCTTTATTATTTTTGTATGTCATTAATAGGATATATTGTGTTTTTTTTTTCTTTGAAAGTATAGTAGAGATAACTGCTCCAGCTCCTAATTCCAGTCAAGCCAATGAACAAGATGATGATACTAAACCTATGAAAATATATCACAAAGATAAGAAGTGTAGGTAGCACTGGTTGTGGAAATTATGTAATTAAATGCAAACTTTGTAATTTAACTTTTAATGGATCTTACACTACAGTAAAGGAACTCTTGTTGAAGATTTTGGGAAGGATAGTTAGACCTTGTCAAAAGATAACAATTTGTCAAACTTGAAGAATTCAAGTAGTTGGACAATGAGGCTACATTGAAGAAGTCAAAACAAAATTTGTCTCCTTACCTTCGGTTTCCTCTCCAATGCATACAAGCAATGGTGGTGTTGATCCGAAAAGGAGAAAGACTATAGATGTTGTGCTTACTATGCAAGGTAGAGAGCAACTTAACTATAGAATTTCTAGAATGGTTTATTCTGCATGTTTTCCATTTCATTTAGCAAGAAATCCATAATATAGGAAAAATTTTCTTATGCTGCCAACAATTTTCTTCGTGGTTACCAACCTCTTGGTTATAATATACTGAGGACAACATTACTTCAAAATTAGAGAAATCACATGAGGAATTGTTACAACCAAATAAACTCACGGAGCCAAAGGGTTACAGCATTGTTTGTGATAGATGGGTGCCCACAAAGAATTGTCATTAATTTCATGGTTGTAACCCGGATCGCAATCCATTGTCACGTCCATTGCACGTGTGTCACCGACGTTATAAGGAGCATGATAACTTGACATCATCCTCACCTTCCTTCGGCTTATCACCAGCAGTTTATTCAAAGGTACACCTCTCTTTCAAGAGAATTCACAGCATGTCAAGCCCTAGTAAAGTTCTTCGCTTTGTATTAAATTAAGCCACATGCTCCATCACTTGTGCAGACCTCTATCAATTCCTTTGAGTTTCATTCTTGCAAACGTACTACGTAAACGAGATACTTACGTGTTGGCTACAACATTGCACTGGTCGATAAGCACAACACCTAGTATCCATCCTTTACGGTTAGGATAGTGGGATATCTAATCTCATTCACTTTCCTGACTTTCGTCTCTCAGCGTTAGTATCGGCCCAGCAAAATGATTTCGCAATTGGAGTAGACCTATTTTTCTAAAAGCTATAAATTGTTAAATGTGATAAGAAAAAAGGATTTCATTACCATACATACAACGAAGGTAATTATGGAGGTTGGACTATCAAATGTTGTGCAAATACTGTCAGATAATGCAATTGTTTGTAAGGTGGTAGGTCTAATTATTGAAGATGAATTTTCTTCTATTTTACCTTAAAACTAATCAGAAATAAGCGAAGTAGCTCAACAAATATATTAGTTGAACACCAAGAATTGAGACAGGTTATTTGAGAATTTTCCTAATACCCCATCAATAGATATTTGTCAAACTAAGTGAATCTAGTATAATAGGCTATCACTCCAAGTGCTCCAACAAGATTTGTCGGAAAAGTTGTAATGCTTAAGAGATTTAAGCAATTAAAGAAAGGACTCCAAGAGATGGTGATTTCTAATTATGATGAAGAGAGCAATTTTCCTTCATTTAGTGTATTGAATGTGGAATCATTGATTTAAAAGTTGAAAGGAAAATATATGATTGAGAGAAAGGGGAAGAATGAAGGGTTAACATTTTATGAAGTGGTTAATTCCATATCAATTAATTGATGGATGGATGGACTCAAAGTAGTACACCACTCCATTGTCTAGCTCATTCTATAAACCCAAGGTGCATCTAAACCCTTTCATTTCTATATTTTTCTAGGATTATGTAATGAATGATAATCATCATGAGTTATATATATTTTTCATTGTAGGCTTTATAGTCATGAATGGTTAAGTGAAGATTGAATTAGAGTTTCTCCACATCAAGACCTAGAACTAGCTAATGAAAGAACAAAATGTTGTAGAAGGTTATTATTTGTTGTGAAAATGTAAGGAGACAAGTGAATATATACTTTCAAACTTCTTGGATGGAAATGAAGGTTTTGATGATCTTGACTCTTTTCCATTAATACGTCCTGCAATCTGCACTTGAACTCCTTTTGTACCTGCTTGTTCAGTTAATTCAATAGCTTTTTTCATTGCTTTACGAAATGAAACTCTATTCTTTAATTGTCCAGCTATAAATTCTGCAAGAATATTAGGATGTTTATAAGCATTTGTAACTTTTACAATAGCAATGTTTAGTTTTCTATTCACACAATTCAGTTTTTTTTGCATATTCGTTTGTAAATTTTCCATTTTTTGAGGTTTACCCTCTATTAATAACTTGGGAAATCCCATATATATTATGACTTGAATCAAATCGATTCTTTTTTGAATCTTTATCTGTCCAATTCCCTCTACAGTGATAGGGCTAACATGAAACCAAAAGCTTGGTGGCTAGTTCATGCTCCAATACTTCAAAAAAGTTTGCCATGAAGTTATTTGCACATCCTAGTCCATCTTCTTATTGTAAAAGGAATTGGAGTATTTATTCATATATTCATTCTCGAAGGATAAACAAGATGACACCATAAAGAGCATAAGGTTTTGCACTTTTCCGTAACAATCTTTGACTTTGTTCAAGAAATACTCCACAATACTATGAAGCATAAATGTAAAATGTAGCTAGAGATAATTTTGGTACGTTTGATAATTTTGGAATTCTTGAACCTAAATTTGAAAGTGTCCTTTTTCAATAATGATGGTCAACATGGGATGGAATGTCTTCATGGGATTCGATCTACTTTTGGTTTTTAAATGGATGGATGGATGGACTTATATCTTTTTTAGCTTAAGGAAACAATATGTTCAAATTGTCCATGATATTTCTTTCTTAGTATTTTGTGAGACTCATTATCATGCATTATTATGCTTGATCAGTGTTGGAGCTTCTTGGGTGTTGAGAGGAGCCATGACCCCCCAAAATTTTGTAATTTCTATGTATATTTATGGTTTTAGCACTTCAAACTTAATGATCATTAAATATACTTGTTTGTATATTTATAATTTTGGTTTCTCTCACCTTTTCATATTTTTTTATTATTTATTAATAATATGTTATTGATCCACCACTGTACTTAACTAGTTGTTTTGAGATGATTTTGAATATATAAGTCTTGATTGTTAATATATAACTTTACACACACACACACACACACACATATATATATATATATATATATATATATATATATATATATATATATATATATATATATATATATATAGTGAAGGGATTCACTCACTCCAAGAATAAGAGTTGAAAACTTATTTTTCATCTTCACTTGTCATTTTCTTGTAATCTATGGGTCAGAGTGAGTTATTATTTTAGATCATTAGATTATCAAAAATTGGATGGTGAGGATAAGGAGTAAGTCTCTAACTCTGACTTTTGGCATAAGTGAATCGCTCCTCTATATACATATATAGGTGTAACCTAGTCTATGTCAGATATCCATGTCAAAGTATGTGCTTCAAAAATTACAATAAGGACGATTGACAAGATCGTTCATGAGGTGGAGTTATGTTACTCTATCATATATTTGCTTAAATGGTTGTGAGGTGGAGTTAAAAAAAAAACATACTCCATGTCTTGCATTAGTTTATCTCTGGCATTACTTTCTGTTGATAGCTCTTGCCCTGCCTGCAAAAGAAGTTATGTTAAATAAATTAAGAGGAGCAAGCTATGGTAAATATGGATATAGTTCTATAACATCCCAACTCTTCTAGCTAGGGAAAGCAAATAGTCTCAT